TGATCACCTTAACAATTAAAATAGTGTTTCATATCATTAGCAAATGTAGAGAAACTCTTCTAATTAATTGGTCACACCAATGTGAAAAGTATCAACATTTAAATAATAATAGCAAATAATCCATTGTTGCAATGCATTCCTAATAGAATAAAAATTTAGCAAGAGAAAATACAATGCAATCAATGAACTAGATAATTCTAGAGAAGAGACAATGGTAGAGTATCAGAATGTCCAAGCAATTTTAATGATTCTAGGCTTCAAATCTAATTCAGGACTTCATAACTTCCTTTTACTTTATTTTTAATAAATGCACATGTTTTAGAACATTATAATTTTGAAATTAAATGGGTAGGCATTTGCCATAAACTTTTTTATAAATTTAGAATAGATGCAATTTCTCAAACAGAGGAAAGGAAAAGAGCTTTCATTAAGATTCCAACAATCTTAGATTCAAGATGCTTTAAAAAAGTAAAGAAATCATTATATAGTGGGATCACATGCAATATTGCTTTGATATATTCTATTACCAATTTTCTTTTGCATAATAATACAGTAAGTACATTTCACTGTATTATTCCTGAATAAATTAAGATAAATTGTAATAGCCACAAATTACATTTCAGCCCAAAATATCTTTATCTTATCTACTAAATAGACTTGTATAATTTGAATCTACTTAATACTACATCTGCTGCCCTTTCAGTAAATGTTCTATTTGATCGTCTTTGCTAGCCAGAAATAAAACTTAACAAACTTCTAGTAAATAGACTCTTCCTATTCAAAATTATATGGCAATGCACCCATATATTTTCTACCTTCAGTAATGCAGTATAACAATACACTACATTTTACTCAGTTAAAAAATTGATAGGAGGGGACAGGTGGGAGAGTGCATGAAAGAACAAGATTTAAAAAGTCTTGACTATATCAGTTGGTTTCTGATATCATTAGATAATAGTTTTTGTAAGGATAATTCCAATTTAAATCAGTTGCTTCTGTTAGAAACCTTTTGACTAATAAATGGACAGATGCAATAGTGCAAAACTCACTGACAATGAGTAAATATTAAAAACAGAGCAGATGAGGATAACTGAACTCAGCAGAGAAAACATCAGGGTGGGTTTTTGTTTTTTGCACCTTTAGTGCAAACAAAAGCTTATACCTCCTTAAGGTAGGAATTTGTGCAATTAAACTATAAAGGGAAGCCCTATGTTGACGATTGGATCATTTTAGCATGCAACTGCACATTGCCATAGCAGAACCACTTTAGAATAAATCATATAAAGGCAATTTTGACTATCTTGAAACTGTTTTAACTCATCAGCTTCAACTGATACTAACAATTCAGAGAAGCGTCCTGCACATATTTCTTCTGTATAGAAATAATTCAATATGTAAATTATTAGAAGTTCAAAGACACAATTTTGTTTTCTATCATGCTTTAGTAAAGCACTTTTTAGCTGAATTTATCAAGCTGATCATTTCAACATGTAGCCATGGCCATGTATCTGTTCATGTATATAAAAGTGCCACTGCCTTCCAGGCTGACTTTCTTATGAAAAAAAAAGGTATCTGGTGGTTGAAGTAGCTGAAATGTGTTTTAAATGCCTACCACAACCTTTGAAACTATAGTAGGCTAAACAGACTTCCTGTAATGGAGGCACATTTTTTGTGTGTGCAAAGCAGTTTCTTGCCACCTCAGATCTATGTACTTAGCCTTCAAGTACTTAGATAACATATATGCGCAAATTTGTTTTGACATAATATAATTTGGCATATTTATGTCTATAGTCTAGATGTAGAAATATGGCACAGAAAAATGGATAGAATTAGGATTTTACTAAATATAATTTTCAGAATAGCAGTGTACATGCATTGATCTAGCTCTGATGGCACTTTATTTTGGCAAACTATTACATTTTCCCTTAGGCTTTTCAGTACAAAACTATCATAGTAAAAGGCTTCAAGTGTAGCAGTGTTATCTCATTTCTTGTACCTTTCTATAATACTGAAATTCAGGCTAAATTATCACAAAGTCACAAAAAAATGGATTATCATTACTGAAGGCACTGTATTTTTTAAAAAATTTTATTACTATGCTAATTCCCCTAAATGTTTATTTTCAGTGCTGTCCTGATAAGCACTTTGCAAGTCCAATGCAAATATTAATACTGATGAAAAAAAAGCACTTGAAAATTTGCAATTATGAATTTACCATAATGGATTCTATCCAGGAAAGTGCATGTCATCAGCTAACAGCAGCTAATGAGATGTATTGCCAATCACTGGAAAGATGAAACTATAGAGAAAGGAAATAATTATCTCAATTATTGTCCAACATACTTAGAAGGTAAGATTTAAGTACTGAATACATGAAGAATAGAGAAACAGAAATAGACACAGGTCATAATGCTGAAAGTTTACAACAAATCTTATTTTTCTGATTACATTAGCTTTCCTATTACATTGCACTTGCATATAGCCATCATAGGTATTTTCATAATTTTGGAATTTGAACTTTTTCTACAATCTGGTCTCAAGTGTTTTGGAAATGCAGTACCTAATTTTCAGCCAATACGCTGGCTTCAAAATGAGACAATTGTAGCACAGCACATTTTGTACCAATCTGGAGAAAAACTACTTAAGGCATGGGGTCTAGCAAATAATTCCAGTTAACTGCAATACTGTAGATTAAACTGAGGCGGGCTTGTATATTATTCTGACTTTTGGGGGCTAATGTTCCTTTTAGAGAGTATCCTTAGTCTCCTATATTACTGACAACAAAACCAAAATGTGTGCCAGATAGAATATTAAAACGTCATCACAAAGGAAACATCGATCTTTCCATGATTAAGAGTTCTAGTTGAATGTCTGATATATTCTTACATACTATAACTGGAAGACTTTTCAGACAATTTATTCCCTTAAGCATTCTAGTGAAATAAAAATGAAAGTAAACAGAATAGAAACTTTAGCAGAGACTCCCCTTCTCTGTGTGTATGTACATAAACACACACACACTTCTGGATTTGGAGCCAGTATGCTTCTGGCTGTGCTGTGTGACAATGCCACTGCACTCAAATGTTGCTGTGAACTCCCTAGATAAACCCAATTGGCCACAAAGAAATTGCCTTTTGGTTTGATTGAATACTGTCATATGTTTCCAAAGGTTTTGTTGTTATCTAAACTGCATGTATTTTAGATGTAACATTCTAAATTACTAAGTGTTAGCAATGTTGCTTTTGCTCCAGATCTGGAATACTAAATACTTGCCAAAATGAATAATTATTGATTGAAGAAGTTGGTCCTTTTTTGAAGTGTTAGTATTCTCTGTTACAAATTTATTACTATGATGTGAGATAAAACAAATATAATTTGGGAATAACTGTTTTACTCAAAGCTTAGGGGCTTTTAGTCCTGTTTAATCAGGAACAGATTTCTTAGTGATTCTAGATATTAAATCCCACTTAAATATCCATAGGACAGTATTTTGTGTAGAAAATAGTACATCATTATGACGTTTAGCTATCCAAATGTACTGCCACTGCTACATAATATGAATATTTTTCAGAGTTTCTTTTAAAATATGAATTCCTTTAATTTCTGCATGATTATACTAAGGGCTACATATTATTTTAAATTCAAATAATAAAATCTTACTTTATTTCTATATTGATCGTTCCAATGTTTTCCCATTTTCTCAACTGTTGAAAAAATCAGTACCTTATGGTACAAATGTATGGATGTCTATTGAGAAGTGAAAACAGACTTCAATAGGACTTAGTTCCAAGTAAGTAGATGAAGGATTTCAGCTTTAAACAAAATATATTATGTGGTAACACTGGCCAGAATTGAAATTACCATTCAAATAAAAATGCAATTTTGAAATTTTATAAATAAATGAAACAGTATCATTATGTGCTGATCTATAGAATTCATGCTTTTTAAAGTCCAATGAAGAAATAAGCTTCTTCTATATTTCAGTTTTCTCATGTCTGGTTTGGTTTGGTTTTTCTTTCCCCTAGAAAACCATACTAGCTAAACCACTTTTTTTCTACATTCTCAAAATGCATAAGAATGGCTACCTCTCTATAGATAGTTTTCCAATTACAAGTCATGGCCTCAGGGTGCTTCACAGTCCATAAAGCACTTCTAGCCACCATAAAATGTGCTGCCCCCCCCCCTAGATAACATTTAAAACTGGTTGCACCGTCTCATGATCATGATCTGTAACATTTTTTGCTGATTTTCAGCAAAACATGTCCATTTGGGAAAGTGAATTTGGACTTATGACTGTGTGATTTGCTTAATAACCACAGGATTTGGACTTACGGCCATATGATTTGCTTAACCACCACTGTAAAAAAAATCAGATCTGGTGAGATAGTGTGCCTTGACTTACAACCAGAATTCCAGTCCAATTGTTGTAAATTGAGGATTACCTGTATAAACTTCATAGCTCCTTATAAAAGGTTTTATGTTTTTGAATTATAGATAGAAACTGCTTCATACTGTTATAAACTTTGCACAGCACTGGATACAGTACAGACTTCTAACTGGGAATTTGACAGTCAAAAATAGATTGAAAGGTAAAAAAAATCAGCAAATGGCAAATGTACAGGAAATATTCAGGAGTAATTAAGCTATCAAGTATCTATTAAAGAGTTATGAGTATTACTTTAAGAGAAGACCTATATATTCAGTAGACACTCCATTTTTACTCTTAGTGAAACTGGCTTAAAATGAACATATCAATAACATTACAGAAAAGAGTAGCTTATAACAGAACTGAAAGGATTTTTGCTTATAGATAACAGGGCCACAAACTGTCATTATTCATAGAACTAAAACATATTACTTCTATATGTAAGTCATACAATGTATTAAATCCATCATTCTGACTTTGATACTTCGGTTTGCAATTCCTTTTTAAAGGTTAAACTATGAAAACGTATTACACCATGCCTCTGTAAAAATAACAAATACTTATTGCTCCGAAATGAACATAATGCATCTTTAAATTTGTGAAAGTTGGCTTTCTCTTAATTGACAATATTACAAATGAGCCTTTCCAATACATATGAAAGACACGGAACAAGATGAAAAACAGAAAATATCTTGAACACAAATTACATACAGAATTAAACTACTGATACAACTGAAAAGAGGGAGGTAAAAGAAGATTTTCAAAAGTAAAAGGTAAAAAAAAACCACTGTAGATACTTGATTGTGAATTACATTAAAAATATCTAGAGTATGAGTACCTGTATAAAAGTATAGAAAAAAATGTAGCTGCTATCTAAAGCAAGACAATTTTTAAATTCTTTGATGGAAGGAAACCTGATGGAAAAAAATTAATGCTATATCTCATATAATAGTAGTAGCTGAAATCTTAACAAGTTGGTATATTTAAAAAAATAACACAGAAGTCAAAAACTAAAGAGACCTGTGCATTAGTAGTGCTTTTGAATGCTTTCTTTTTTTTTTTTTAACTTCTGGTTGTATCCTCTCAGAGTGCACGGAACAGTCTGTTCCAGGAGGCCTTTATAGGTCTTTGGAGATCTTCAAAAGCAGCTCTGGAGAAAGTAATAGAACTACACATAAAAAAAAGAGCTAGAAAAGTTGCATTGTGGGTAAATGCAATATCATCCTTTGTGTCCTATATATACAATTTATAGCCCTTAGCCCATAAAGCATAATAGTCCTTTAACAATATCCATCTTCACTTTGCAAAAGGTTTGAAATTATTTAGGTCTATGTCATTTTCCCACTAAACAATGTAACTTCTTCATATTATTACCTGTTGTTATAACTTGAGAAAGAAAGAAAAAAAAATTTTAGAACTGCAACACAAACTTTTTAATAAAATTGTACCAGAGCATGTTTTAAATTACTAGTTGTTGGACTTATGGTTAGTGAATTTAAAGTGCATCTAAAAATCAATGGTAATTTTAAACCAATTCCATGAGCTACATGACATCTGAATGAAATCTTAATGAAGATGTTGATTTCATCCATTTTTATCTCTCCCAAATCAGCCACTAAACAGCATTCTCCTCAATACTAAAAATTGGCTTTGCTAGATTTAATAAAAGGATTTACTATAGAAAGCTGTTCCTATTAGGAGAACTTTGGAGGGTAACAGCTGCCTGTCAGTTCTTTCTCATAAACCCAGCACTCTGGGAAAAAAATTGTATCATGATTTGACAACTGAAGCTGACTAAAATCTTTCTCATTTATACCACACGAAGTCATAAATTCAACTGGGATCTGTAAGTCTATTAATATACTATGAGAAATTTTACTGATTTGCAAATAATGCAAGTTTCAGGCAGCATAGGAGTGTCATAATGCCTTGACAGTGATTTTAGGCACATGGCCGATTTATTATAATTGGCTACTACAACTTTCAGACAATAAGATAGGCACTATAAAAATGGCAAAAATAGTTAAAAGCTGTTTCTATAATTATAAAGTGATAATGTTATTTAATACTTTTTCTACCTTAAATTCCCTTTAAGCAAGCAAATGAAGTATTCAGAAAAATCTATTAACCTATGAAAAGTGATCATTCAAAGATAAAACAGCACTCATCCAATTAAAACAATTCTTCACAAAGGTGCAAATGATTTAACTACTGCTTTTCAGGCTCACATAGGCAGGTCAGTACTGTTATGTCTAGTTTTTCTAGAAGTACCATCGTCTCGTGGCAGTGCTTTCTGCAAGTTCGACATAGCAGCAGTTCTTTCAATATCTATCACAGCATATAGCTCGGTGCGCCTGGTTGGTGTTGGGGGAAGTGGAGTAGTAGGAGTTTTGGGAGTCTGTGGGTTATCAGAGTCACTGCCACCTTCCAAATCAACTTGTATATAATTGAGTTGCCTGTGTTCTGAACTTGGTCGCCTAATATCAAAATTGAAGACCGTAGGGGTACAGTCCCGACGTCTTGCATATTCAACTTTGTGAGCACTTGATGGTACTGTTACATTCTCTGTATTGACATAATTATGCATGGGATCTAAGTTATTATGATAGCCATTCAAAGAGGGAGTCTTTGGTCCTAAACTGTCATCCTCCTCTTTACTTAGCTTATGAGCTTCCCAAACTGGAGGCAAAGAAGGAAGATTTTCGTAATTTAACAGTGCAGTTCTCCTTTGAGCTGAATTGTTGATGTTTTGAGTATCAGAAGTACTGGATGACACTAGACGACCTCTCCTGAGGCCTGGAGCATTAGGGATAGACAATCTATTTACATTTTCATATGTTAGTTTATTACCAGAAGAAACCTCTTTGCGTTCATCACTGTCATATCCAGTATCCCATTCACTGTTACTATTTCCACCAGCTTGAGTACTGCTACCACTTGTTTCAGTATTGTTCCCACTAATTTGAATACTGTTCCCACTTGATTCCAGTTTTTCCTTCTCCATTAACTGTCGCTGGACAGGGGTAGGGCCCAAAACAAATTTGACTCCTTCAGGTTCCAGTACAATCTGGGCATCCCTGCTATCAGAGCAAGTCTCTTCTTCCCTTCCCTTGTTTGTTTCTGCAATGGGAACCTTTTGTTCCAGAGGTGTGCGTGCAGTTGGTTTGTTTTTTCTTTCCTCCTGTACGCCTGTTGTATTCACATATGTATGGACCTGCAAAAGATGAGAGTCAAATGTCAATCTTATACATTACCATATTCTTTTTTGATCCTGATCACATAGATTTATTGTATCCAACAGTGGTATATAATAATGTAGACATCCAGTAAACATAAAACTGGATTCAACGTACTTCCATCATATACAGGGCATATTTTAGCAGTGTTAATATAAATATATAATAATGGCTAGTTACAATAGAATTAGAATATGGAAAATTCAGAATAACTTACTTGTTCCTCCGCTACAAGTAGGGGGTGTGTGGATTCTTCACCTACTGAAGGAAGACGTGCACTTCCTACTGAAGGGTGTCTGCTGGAAGGATGTGACGAGGCATCTCCATAGGAGGGGTGCCTTGGGTACCCATTAGGTAAATTCTGCCCACTTAATCCAGGTGCTGGTTAAAAAGAAAATCCAATTATTCCATTGATATCAATAATATTATTCCTTCAAAAATATATATTAATAAATACTAATTCACTACAAGTTAGATTATAACAACTGCAGGGACTTGTCCAGAGAGTTGCCAGGAGTCAAAAACTCAAAAAGCACACAGACTCAAACACGGTAATAAAGAGCTCAACAGAATTTCATATCAGCATTTTATCTTAAGGAAAGCAAATTTTGTACTTTCTGCTCAGGACAGAAAGTATTAAAATGGCCCCTAGAGCAAAAGGCCATATATATTAAAAACTGGATACATGTCTAAAAGGACAGTAAATAAAAATAAAAACGAATGCAATTCTTGGGTTTGGCCTGCTCTGCATTAGACTTTACTCATTAAAATTTATAACTCACACCAATCTCAAGACTTGGAGTAATTATTTATTGATTTTTAATAAGTAACAAAAATGAGAAAAAAGAGCAAAAAAACAAAGACAACAGGGGATACATACATTGTCAGAGAGAAAAAGAAAAACACATAAAACATGCTTTAACAAAAAAGTGAAAAAACAAAGAAAAAACATAGCATGGTAGGTCATTATAACAATAAACAGTTATAATTCTATCTATATACAGTGCATTCAGAAAATATTCAGATCTTCACTTTTGTCAATTTTGTTGTGCTTCAGCCAGATTCTACAGTTGTTGAAATTCATTTTTTTTATTAATCTATAGAGCTTGGTGCACCATCACCCAGCTCCTCCCTCTTCTTGAAAGCAAAAAAATTTCTTCACTACCCTGTTTTCCAGCTCTGGCATATTTCTCTCCTGCTGCAGAGAATCAGAGTTCGTGAGACTAAAAAAGTTCAGTCAGACCTTCCAACTTTGCGAGATCTTTTTTTTTTTCCCCACGAGAAGTTGGAAGGTCTCACTGAACTTTTTTAGTCTCACGAACTCTGTTTCCCTGCAGCAGGAGAGAAATGTGCCAGAGCTGGAAAGCAGGTTAGTGAAGAATTTTTTTTATTTTCGGGAAGAGGGAGGAGCTGGGCGATGGTGCACCAAGCTCTATAGCAGCGCTGGGAGAAGCGGCAGGAAACGGGGCTGCCATTTTGAGAAAAAAGAAGAGAGATACGGGGCGATGCAGGGTGGCAAGCAAGTGCTCTTCTCTGCTCTACATCGTTATGCAGAGTCGTTCTCTCCAGTGGCGGTGACGAAAGGCTGGAGGAGGGAGGTGGCGGTCACAGCACAAGCCTTGGGAGAGTTGGTAGAGGAGGAGGCGGCTGCCACTAGGCAGGTGATCTGTGGGCCAGAGCATAAAGAAAGCCCCTCCAGCGGCACACAGCAGCAGCGGAGCCTTTCACTGTCACTCCCCCTGGCTCCAAAATGGCAGAGGAGAACCAGACCTACCCCACCCATCCTCCGTAGGGTAGCATGGCAGTCCGGAAGGGGACTGAAAGGGAGCAAGGAATGGCCTGGCTGGGGGGGGGGGGCTGAAGTAAGCGGGTGCGGGGCGTGTGAGGCAGCTCCACCCCCTCCCTCACCTCGTGGCGGCAGTGGTATGATGTGCTGTGCGGCCTCCTGCCACACTGAGGCAGCCAGGTGGGACGGAGTGGGCGGGGTTCTAATTAGGGCTTATTTTTGCAGTAGGGCTTATATTAGACACACCCCCACAAATCAGGGTAGGTCTTTTTTGGGGGGTGGGGTTTATTTTTCGGGAAGCACAGTAGCAAATATATGTAAATCCCAGGACAAAGCCCTATTCTGAAGTCTTTCCAAGAGATCACCTCAGTACAGCCAGAGGGCCAATATGTCTTAGTTGCTTTTATACAGTAGGCCTCTCCAATTTAAACTCTGTCCTGACTCCACAGTAAGTTGTCATAGCTCACTCTGCTGACAACATTCCCCACCCCTCCAGAAACTTTCAGTAACAGTTGCTAACATTCCATTCTTATCAGGTGTCATCTTGAAAAAAAATATACAGAATTGAATCCCTTATGACACATTATTTTAGTCCACTAATTCCTATATATTTCCTCTAAGATATTAACCATCATGTGGTATGAAAATTATGTGTAATACCGTATATGCCGGCGTATTAGGCGACCCGGCGTATAAGACAACCCCCGTCTTTATAGCTGGGCCGCATTCCTAGAACGTCGTCTTATACGCCGGAAACTACCAGTATTTCCGGCATATAAGACGACTCGGCGTATAAGACGACCCCCGTCTTTGGCGCCGATTTCAGCGCTCGCGGAAGTCGTCTTATACGCTGGCATTTACAGTAATTATCACTTGAAACATTCAGAGTAAAAAAAATTGGCAACCTTAACAAATCATATCAGCCTAGTCAATGAACCACTCATACATCAACTTACTGGTAGGTGTGAGAGGTGTTCTTGGAATCTCAATCTCTGTTTGATGTAGACTCCTTTCTACAACTGGTTCTTCTACTACATTTATACTATTATTTTGCATGATTTCCTGCAGCATATTAAACAGTTCCTCTGCACGAGCACACTTAAAGGCAAATATCCCTGCAGAAACATATATTAGACATCACTATAATGTATGTATGCATTATCCTTTTACTCATATACCTGTTAATGAAAGAGATCTATTATATTTAATATTAAAATTTTTAACAATTATAAGTTCCTGCAATTCCCAAGGAGAATTTTTGGTGTCTATATCAGAAAACTATTTTCAAGACTGTAATTGCAGACTGAGAACTTTGGAGTACACTTATAGCCTAATGTGCTTAGCACAGGACATGATATTACTCAGGAACTATTGCCTCTTATAAGAACATACTGTGTTTCCCCAAAAGTAAGACCCTGTCTTACTTTTGGGCTCTGAAGTAAGTACTAGGTTTTACTTTTGGGGAGGGCTTACTTTTTGCCAGTACCAGTACCAGTAGGCCACGAGCATGCGGGGGATGGGGCAGGGCCTGTACATGGGGTGAAGAAGTAACACGGCGGCAAAAGCATGATGGCGGACTGGTGCAACCATGGTGGGGGGCGATGGAAAGGCTGCCGAACCTGATGCAGGGTGAGTTGGCTCAGATCCAGAGTGCTGCCCTGCCACTGGCCTGCCAGGCGAGATCTCAAGAAGTTAAAAAGTATGACTGAACTTTTTTTTTGTCCCACAAACATGCGGCGAAAGCTGAGAAGCAAACAGAGAAACGCAATGCAGCTGAAAGGCAGGTTAGTAAAAAAATGCTCGGGGAGGCAAGGGCATCTGGGTGGGGGCGGACGTGGCAACCTTACCCTGCGCAGCTTTGGCAGGTGTCTGGCAGGCGCAGAGAAGCAACTCCACCCCCCTGCCACCTGCCTTGCCTCCTCACCTCATGGCGGTGGCAGCAGCAGCCGGGCAAAAGGTGATCCGGCAGGAGCAGCCGGTAGAGGCCAATAGCGCCCAGTCAGCATGAGAGCTGCAGCGCATGCCAGGGACCGAAGAGCACTAGGTTCAGCCCTTAACCCAGCACCTGCAGCATCGAGTAGGTGTGCAGGCTGGTGCTCAAGCAGCCCAAAGGTGAAGGTGTGCCAGCATGGTTCCACAGGCGGCCACTGGTGAACGGTCCTGGTAGGCTGGCACTCTGGATTTGGGCCAACATACCTCATGCAAGGCAGGAGCAGCCCAGTAGGGCAGCCCAGAGCAGCACAATCAGGTGGGCAAAGAGCCCCATGAGGCAGAAGCAGCACAGGCAGCCACTTGGCTGCCACACGGTACCCAATGCGACCAAGAAATGTCCCAGCAGCAGTAGGACCAGCAGGCAGGGCAGGCAGAGGCTGGGGCTCACCGAGGGTTTAGTTCATTGCGAGCTCAGGCAAGCAGACAGTGGGACAGAGAGGGCACTGGCGACCGCTGGTAAAGGGCCCTGGCAGGCCAGCAGTGGGGGGGGGGCTGTTGGCTGCATGGAAGATCTGAACTGACTCGCCCTGCCTTGTACTAGGGCTTACTTTCGGGTGAGGGCTTATATTTAGCCCACCCCAAAAAAATCAGCTGGGGCTTATTTTTGGATTAGGGTTTACTTTTGGGGAAACATAGTAGTTTCACAATTAATACATTTCAAGTTTTCTGGTCAATTATAGTACCAAAATTAATGTAAACTTCCTACATAAAGTAAGAAGGATCTAACACAAGATGCACAGTCCAGATTCACGTCACCATTAAAACCTAAAGGACCAGAAGACAGATATGAATAGAACAAATAAAATAAATCCTGATTTTTTCTCAAGGATTGAAAACAGAAACAAAATAAGAAGTATCAAAGATTTTCCTCTAGAGTTGTTCCATGAAACCCAACTTATTCTCATTAGTAAAAGAAAACAGTATAGTTGCAGTGTTGTATTATTTTCCCATTGAAAGCATTAAGTTGACATTCTTATTAGCAACTGTGTCTTTGCTATTGCTAGCTTATCTAACATCAAACATTTAATTAAATAATATTAAAACAATTATGTACTATTCTATTCAAGCCAGTAATAAATTTCAACTCAATACCCCCCTTTAAATAGTAACCTGTTGACTTATGTGTCATGCAAACTTTCTAACGGTAGATAGGCCATGCACAATACTATACTGTCTGGGATGATGCTATCTTTGAAGAAAATTGTCTAGGCTTCAAGGAAAGTAGGTTTTTAAACTTGAAATGTATTAAGAATTTTCTCTTATAGAGCAATTTTAACAAATGTGATTCTAAATAATAAGACTTTTAAAATGCTTCCATTCTATACCAACTGGAGTTGACATTATGAAAGCTGTAGTGCAGCAGTCCCCAAACTTGTGGGCACCAGGAACTGGTTCCATGGAGAGAGATTTTTCTGCGGACCGGAGGGGGTGTGGTTTCACATGCTGCCCGCATCCCATGGATGGGGCATTGCTTGTTTGCGCGGCCCGGTTTGTGGCATGCAATGGACATGGACCAGTGGTTGGAAACCCCTGCTGTAATGTATAACCAATAACTTCAATACACAGTGAAGACTAGCATTTTAAGATAAAACTATTTTTACAGAGTTACTTAATGCTGAAACATACAACTCGTACAAACAGGAAAATAATATTATACTACACATTAGTGATAAATTAATAATTTGGATAATTAGATAATAATCCATAAAGACATACATTATTTATACTGCATGTAACCATACTTCCTGAACAAAAAGCTGAAATGTTGATAAATAGATGGGGTCATGTTTGTGTGTTGTCAAATATAATTGGATCCTGAAAATATGGTTAAATATTTCTATTTACATGAGCTTAGTTTTTAAAATGCAATAAAAATGATACTTAACTTTTGAGAATATAAACATGTTTACAATTTATGTCACTTATCTACACATGAATAGTGTGGGAGAGACTAAACTGAGATGTGATTTATACAAGGCCATTATGTGAGTTCAATGACTTACAAATGCACTTCCCCGATATTTACTTTCAGCAGAAGTACATTGTATACCAACATGAAGTTCCAAATAGCCACTGATAAAAACTATCCTCTATGAAATTGTTTAATTTTTTCTTAAAGCTCTCTAAATTAGTAGCCATCATACCTCCTTGAAGCAATCAATTTCTCATTTTATAACAATTTTTTTTAACTCATACTAAAGCCATTACCTGGATTCAGTTGTAAAAAAAGAAAGAGAAAACATAAATCTAGTTCCTTTCCAGCATTTTATCTTTCTGTGGTCCATTTTTAAATTAAAAATCTTTCTTAATAGGAAAAGTGCTATTGTATCGTCATCATACCACTCTATATTTTCTCCTAATTTCCCTATGTGACTACAGATTTTGGCCATTGTATTTTTTTTTGAAATCCAATAAACTCTAATTGAAACATGTCTTTTTCCTGCTGTCACTGATCATTCAATTGATGGTGTACAGGTGAATGGAAACATGACTTTAAAATTACTTTCTTGACCAGTGAATGCCAATTAGGTTAATACTGTCTAATGTCAATAAACTTCCTTAACAACATAATCCTATGTTGCAGGACATCATTTCAGGATGAAAAGGTTGGGTTTCCTTCTCCAAATACTGTATATAGTATAGTTCCAACCTTATGGTGAAGAGGGGGAATCTGATAGACACCATTCCTAATTTCCTTTCATGCCAGGTTCTTTCTGTCACTGGTTATCTCTGGTTTTGGAAAGGCCTAAAAAAAGGGGCGAGGGGGGAGGCAGAAAGCAGATGAGCATGACTAAGCTTGCAGACTTTCTTTGATGTACCCATCCCTCTGCCAGACACAACATTCAGCCAGCTCTCATATTGATCTAAATACACTTTTTCCATTTGCCTGCAATGGAAGTTTTTAAAACTATGGGATAGCAAACAGTGGCCTTCTGCTTTGTCAGTAGGTTATCAATAGGGCTTTGAACTTGTCAGAGCACTTCAGAAGCTCAAAAGAATATCCATAACAGAAATTTCATTTAGATCAAATAATTCATTTAGATCAACTAAGTACAGTTGATCCAGGTTGGTTAATACTATGTATTTCTAAGTCTTCATATGTCACCAATACTATTAGCTTTACCTTATATATGAATTCCATTTAACAGACTTATAAAATAGGGAACTATTTATACATACCTGGTCCAGTTTGACATCTTCGTCCACTTTCAAATGAGAAAAGATTGGAATCATAGCCATAACGGCGCAGACAGAGATAATGCCACTTGACAGAATCCCGTTTACGGGTATACAAGATTAATTCTGTATCTGTAAGTTCCATTATACCAGAACCCAATTCATTACCATCATCATCCACATTAATAACCTAGAAAATATATTTTTCAGAAAATAAATATATGATTCACATAATCAAGCTCAAATATTTATTTATACACAACCATATACTTTACTAAATATAATTGAGCAAATATTTATTAAAAACTGCTAAATAACAGAAAATAAATTTAGCATAAGCTCATTGGTATTTTATTTATTCCCAAAATATGAACATGTTTCTACATATCACAAAATATATTTCATATCTTTCCATCAAATAGATACAATTTATCCCAAAGATTTGGTGATATGAATTATTATATCAACTGTTTCTAGTCTGAAAATGTTACACAAGAAAATATCCAAATAATTTCTGTGGTAAATAATAGAGACATTCTATACACTAAGTAGCACAGATAATATAGCAGAGTATGGAGTATGATTTTTTTTGCAATTATTTGATTTACAGTGCTCAAAATCTATTAGTTCTGCACTAATGGGAGTTATAGTCCAAAATATACAAACACAGATTGCCTAGTATCTCAACCTTACTTAGCTCTTACTTTAACAACCAACTTGAAAATTGAGTAGGTTTTTAAAAATTACCACACAAATCTCCATCATTCCTTACAATTAATATTTTTTCTTTCTCAATCTCAAGTAAGAACTTTGCACTCAAAAGTTTCCATGTAGAATTGTACCTTAAATTTGTTTCGATGGTTATCAGGGACTGCTTCTTTATCAGGACAGCTACAACAGCTACCCATGACTTCTTTAGAAGACCGTATGATTACTATACCGCAGTAAAGAGAATTGTTTTAAAGATAAATGCAATATAAAGAATGGAAAATGAAATGCAAATAACTGCAAAGTATTAAAAACATGATAGATATTATAAAGAAATATAAAGAGATCAAATGTAAAGATGTCTTAAATATATTATGTTTAAATGCTTGAATAATGAAGAAGGAACTCCATATTTCTAAAATATTGTATTTTTAATAATAATTCATTTAATAATAATGCTCTTGATGTTTCCCTATACAAAGGAAAGGTAACAAGGGCGAATGCAAAAGTTATATGAAACTTAGTTTATTAAGTATGCTTGAGAAAGTGCTGGGCAGAATTTAATGAAGCTAAATGATTTGCAGCAAACATTAGACTGCTTGATGTAACAAGATCTTAAAATGGAAAAGAAAAGCAAATGCTGCAGATTTTACACAAATAATGAAAAACTACGGGAAATAGATCAATGTGTATACCATGGTAGAATGTTTGGATGGAAAAATGTTAAGATATAAATGTTCTAGCAGAAAGGTAATGCGAGTATCTCTTTCTTTTAAAAGGGTTATAGCTAGAATACAATAGTAAACTGGCAAAGGTACTTACTGCCACAGAAATAACTTGAGCGTGAAAATAAAAGCTGGAAAAACCACAATTTGTATTATCAAATAACTTTACAATCTTTTTTAGCTAATTGGAAAGCACAATAAAAACTCTGTTTTTGGGGGCAAGAACTACTTACATTCCATCTACTTACAGACCAGGAAATATAATAACAACTGTATACCTTGTAATTCATATACAGGATGAGTTCAGATTCTGATAGAGAAACATCTGGTTGAAAGTAAATATACTCACCTAGATTTGGCCATTAATATTCGTAGCCTCTGATATAGCAATAGTAATCCTTTCATACTTCAAAACATCATGTTTTCTTTCCAGACAGTTGCTTGATCTATAAATGAAAGTTTGAACAAACTGTAAAACAAATTAAAACAACAGCTTTAAATAAAAAACTGGCTCTGAAACAAAAGAGTGGTTACTATTCTGTTCTGAACCATTACTAATTTATATTCCTAATGAACAGCCACTATAGGGTATATGTTTTTTTATATGTAACTAAAAAGAAACTACTTTTTGAGTTCAGTGTACAACGGAAGACACTCCTCTGGGAACTCTTCTGTCAAAGTAGTGTTAGATGATAACTTTTGCACATTTATTTTAATAGAGCATATTCAGAAAAAGTTTTAGGTATTTTGCATCCAGCAATCTTGATTTCTGTATTGTGAATAGCACTGCACAATCAACATGCCATTCTATTAAAAGCTAGGTATGTAGTATTGATTCCTGTACATTCTGCTAAAGCGGTTAACACTCATCCCTCACAATATTGCATTGCAATTCTTGTCATCCTGTAGCCTCTATTATATTGGCTAAAGGGTTGTAATTCAACATTAGGAGAGCTACATATTGCTTTCCTCAGCCTAGATTAGCAAATCATATGTAGTGTCTTATCTTGTACTTAAATTACATGAAGATAGCCATTAATATTGTACTTGTGATGATTCTCTTAATGACTACAATGAGAATGGATGCTGTAAGCTGGGTGTAGTCAGTTTTACTTTACAACCATGTTGCTTAGCAGTAAATTTGCCAGTCCTAATTGTGGTTGTAAGTTAGGACAAAGGAATGGAAAAACAATTTAGTAGTGATAGTTTAGACCAGCGGTTCTCAACCTTTGGGTCGGGACCCCATTCGGGGTCGAACGACCATTTCACGGGGATTGCCAAACAACGCAGTCCGCCATTTTTCCCCCCTTTTCCTTAGCTGTGCTACTCCCTTTTATTCTATTGGCTTTTGAAAGCCAACAGAATAGACTCTCTCGAATAGAGTCTAATTCTATTGGCTTTCAAAAGCCAATAGGAATTGTCCAGGCTGTCTCTGCCCTGCTGAGCCCGCCAAAAGTCCCATTCTACAAACAGTGCTGCAAGTTGTCTGCAGCGAAGGCGAGCTGTCTGGAAGTTTCCACCCCTCCCTGCTGAGCAACTACTAAAAATGTAAGTAAAAAAGGGCCAGGGGTGGGAGGCCGGCGGGCGCAGGAAGGGTTGCTGGCGCGCGTGGGGCCTAGCGGGTGCCTTATCTCCCTTGGTCTGGGCCAGCTGGTGGCCCAGCCAGTGGTCAGCTTGCTCAGTCTCTGCCGCTTGCCAGCTACGCCTCGGCCGGCGCAGGGGGCGGTACCACGCATGTGCGGTGCTCCCGGGCAGGGAAAGTCCTCGACTTACAACCGGTTGGGGGTCATGGCATTAAAAAGATTGAGAACCACTGGTTTAGACAATGAGCAGCAAACTACCAGAAAGGTTTGACTTAAAAAAACTATATTTGTACATCTAGCCATCTCTCACTAAACCACATTTTAGCTTTTAACCATGATGTATCAAATCTGATTGGTTCTAATAATTGTGTGGATTAATATCTAGATGCTAGTATTTAAGTAGCAAATTTAAATTAAATGCTAATGGGGCAGCAGAATTAGATTCTATTTATTTAATCAGTTTGAAAAGCTGCCCATCTCAGCAGTGAACAATAACGAATAGTATAAAAACAATGATATTTTGAATTCAAAAATTAAAATACATAGCAGTTGAGAAAAACAACAGTCAGTAATGCTAATACAGCCAGGAAACAGGCTCTTCACATACTGAGGACCCCAGGGCTGTCCTGGTCTTTACTGGTCTACAAAAAGACTGCAGGGTCAGGGTCTAATCTCCAGAGGGAGAATAAAGGGTGGGCACTACAGGAGAAAAGGAAGGCCTCTTGGCCCTTGTCAATCAGTACTCCTTAGCCAATGCATGCCCATCCTGCCGAACCAGATTGGATGAGTAGAAATGAAATTATCTCCTTTAAACTTCAAACTTCTTGCATTAGAAAAAATTGTCAACTTCAATATTAAGGGGCAAGGAGAGAAATGTGTTAATATTAAACTTCAGTACAGGTAATCCTCGACTTACAATAGTTCATTTAGTGACCATTCAAAGTTACAATAGCATGGAAAAAGTGACATGACCATTTTTCAGTTACAACCTTTGCAACTTCCCCATGGTCATGTGATCAAAATTCAGATGGTTCATACCGTGTTTTCCCGAAAATAAGGCCTACCCTGAAAATAAGCCCTAGCTTGATTTTTGGGGGGTGGGCCTAATATAAGCCCTACCCCAAAAATAAGCCCGTTTTGGGGTGAGACATTCATCTAAAAATCAAGCTAGGGTGGGGGGGTGTAATTGTCCCATGCGCCCCACACCCACTTACCATGTAGCCAGGCCTCCCCTTGCTGGCCCACTTCTTCTGCAGCATCTTCTGCAGCCAGGCCTACATTTCTCAGTCACAGGCCTTTCCAGAAGGCCACTGCAGCTGAGAACCGAGCTATAGATTCAATCCATAGCTCGGTTCCGCAAGACCTCTGCAGCCAAGAACCAAGCTATGGATTGAATCCATTGCTCGGTACTTGGCTGCAGAGGCCTTCTGGAAAGGCCTGGTTACAAAATGCAGGCCAGAATGCAGCTGCAGAATGAAGCTTCTCCTTCAGCCCCAGAAGAAGTGGACCTCCTGGGCAGGGCTATCGGTGCCGGAGGTGAGCAAGACATCCCCTGAAAATAACACTTGGTGCCTCTTTTGGAGGAGGAGGAGAAAGAAAGAAAGAAAGAAAGAAAGAAAGAAAGAAAGAAAGAAAGAAAGAAGGAGGGAGGGAGGGAGGGAGGGAGGGAGGGAGGGAGGGAGGGAAGGAAGGAAGGAAGGAAGGAAGGAAGGAAGGAAGGAAGGAAGGAAGGAAGGAAGGAAGGAAGGAAGGAAGGAAGGAAGGAAGGAAGGAAGGCCTGGTCTTATTTTGGGGAAACACAGTATTTATTACTGTTGCAGTGTCCTGGGGGATCATGTGATCATCTTTTGCGATCTTCTGATAAGCTCAGTCACTGGGAAAGCCAGATTCACTTAACAACTGGGTTACTAATTTAATAACTGTAGTGATTCACTTAACAACTGTGGCAAGAAATGTCATAAAATGGGGCAAAACTCACTTAACAAATGTCTCAGTTAACAACAGAAATTTTGGGACAATTGTGGTCATAAGTCAAGAACTACTTGTATTATGTTCTTAATACCTAATGCTATAAAGACTGGCTTAAAAGTAGCATGAAAAGTTTTTTTACTTTTATAAAGATTTTTTTTATAGGAAAGAGTGCTACAGCTACTTATTTTCAGAACATGAAAGAGACTACATTTAGTTTGGAACCTTTCTTTAAATACCACAACAATAAAAGGCTCAGAAAAATCAAGACTACATCCCCCAACACCTTAGTATAATCCTGAAAGAGTTGTTCAAAAGGTTTAGCTGAATTTGCTCATTTATACAAAAAGCAATTCAACATTTTGAAGAAAGCAAGCTGAAATCATGAAACAACGCCATCTGACAGATGATAAAAGTCATCTGACACTCTCCTAATAAAACAAAATACAGAAATTATTCAAATAAAATTCAACTATTTTTCACACTTCCTGTATCATTCCAGCATAGTCAAATTTGTAGAAACAGGTTGGTACCTAGTAGCATTTATTTTTAAAAATTATAATTTTGGAAAAAATAATTTTGAAAATATATATATATATCTTAAGAGCATTACTCCAATACATTTGAAAAAAGATATTTAAATGGCAGTTCACATAATACCCACTTTGGTAGTGAATGCTGTGAAAGCATGATTGAGAAAATATCAAACATTCAGAAATATATAGTACTTTATTTTGCTTCAGTCCAGTATTTGTTTTGACAAAAAAAAATTTCAGAAACAAGGAAAAATGTCCTCACACTTCTGATAAATAACCTGCTTAAATATCTTGCAATTTATGATACCTTTCACCTTTTGATTCTCAAGTATCTTTTAATTCAGCATATTTAAATAAGCATTTATTTCTTGGAGTTTATCATGTTTGAAGATATTAATTACCAAATGCCTTCCTATACAGAACCATCAAATTGCTGTTAATTTAGTCTTCCTCACATGAACTAACTCCAATCCAATCTTTGGTATTCCAATACCATTTCCTTCTCTTTTAGATAAATATATCTTCCATTATAACTGGCTATATTTCTCCCTTTTCAAACCTAAAAGATGAGCCAGAATATGACAGTAAGTGCAAGCAAATAGAGACTGGATCCATGTGTTATGCTAAACAGTAATATAGCTTTGTTTAATATAACTGACCTAGCATGTTCTGTGCACATAATCACTGTCATAAATTAGGCATGGTTTAAGTTTGAAAAAACTAAGCTTGAAAAAAAATTATATTTTATGTTCTTGACTAAAGAAACTTACACTAAATAGCCAATTTGGTGTAGTGGTTAAGACATCAGGCTAGAAATTGGAGGACCATGAATTCCCGTCTTGAGTACAAATCCAGTTGGGTGACTAGTCACTTTCTCTCATACCTAGCAAGGAGCCAATGGCAAACCACTTCTGTTAAAACTTTGCCAAGAAAACTGCAGGGACCTGTCCAGGCATTCTCTGAGAATAAGACATGACTGAATGGAAGAAAAAAAAATGTTTTTCCTTTCCCATAAATTTTATCATTTTTCTAATTCTATGTTATATCCAAATTTTTTCACCCATCTTATCACTGTTTCTTTAACTTGTTCGCTTCTCATTTCCCAAATTAATAAGAAATTATACATTTTCTTAATTAGTTTCTCATCTGAAGTTAACAAAGTCTTATCAAATACCGTCTGTTCTTTATAAAATCCATAGTTTAACGTCTTTTTCATATCTAATTTGCATTTGTAAATGTGCCCACCACGACAAGTTGATCCCCTGATTTTCCATTTCTTGTTTAGTTTTTAAATTCCCTTCAGAATTTAGAATATCTCTATATGGAGATAGTGGACATCCTTGCCTTGTACCTTTACTT